TTGATGCTGAATGCCCATGGTGAGAGTGATGGGAGTGTTAACGTATTTACATATCCATGAGCCACCGAGCACTCTTCTGGACCTGCATCTGTACAGTGGTCACCAACCAACTCATTAATGCCCAAGAACAGGAGTCCGGTGACAGGTCAGATGCCTGGGTCTTTGAGACCTGGAATGCCTGGCTTGTTCACTCCGCAACCAGTTGCAGAGACATGTCAGTGTCACATATCTGATGTGCTCATCAGATTATGCACCCAAGTCTAATCTAGAAAGACCCCTCACTGAGTTGGTAAAGAATGTTTGCAAGCACCTTGTTTGTTTATCCTGAGTTTTAACCAGCTTTTCCCTGAAAGCTAGAGATGGATCTGAGGATCTCCAGTGCTCACTACTTAATGGTTAGGGGTTCCCTGGTGCCACTTGTGTGTGCATAAGAAAAAAAAGGGAATTTTTGGTCACAGATGGATAAAAGCTGATGCAGAAGTGGTAAAGGAAGAGCAATGCAATAGAACAAGGCTTATTGGGTTGGTTGCCTATTGGTGTCTCCCCAACCCCACGTGAGCTCCTGCTCTTCTCCAGCCAGATCCAGTATTTTTTCCTTGGAGGGAGTGAGGAATCTGATGTCCAAATTTCGAACATTTTGCTTTTTTTAATTGACATTTTTTCCTTCTCCATTCAGTGTTTCATTCTGCCTCTTTTGTCTATTTTTTTTAAAAAAACCTTAATTGATAGCAAATTCACCTTGTTACACTTCCCGCCAAGTTATTTTGTTGTTTCTTTCACAATCCTACACTCTGTTTCATTCAGAAAAGACTGTGTTTTTAAACTGTGTCCATTCAGATCTAAGATGCCTTGTTTCCTTGCTGCAATTTCATCAATTTGCACATTCAGAAACTTGCCATGCAAAAAAAAAACCTAAATGTGAAGGTCAAAGCTAATTTACAGTGCATATTGTTAGATGTCCTGCTGCAGGAAAATTTGGCTTAATATCTATGACGACTTCTCTCCTTCATGTTTATATATGTATTTTGCTACTTAATCATTAAGTGTGTCTCATCTTTGTGCACATCTTGGAAAGTTATGCAAATTGCTCTAAATCTCTATGTAGGTAATGACCTTGCATTCACAGTTTGAGGGACACGTTGCCATATCTACCCTGTTTTCCCTTACCTTGCATACCTATAGGTCACCTTTCCCACAACAAACAGTTGGCAATAGTAATCTATTATAGATGTAATCAGTTAATCTGCATGGTGAATAAACTAGTGTAAGCATAAACCAAATTGTTTTGTCAACGTTACAGAATTTACAGTATATTGTTGCATTAAACTTAAGGTCATCCAATGTTCTGCTGCCACTGTCCTAATACACAAGAGGTCTTGTTCACCTATCGCCACTGAGCTCAAAATACCCAGCTGCCTATGAAGCAACACCTCAATTCTAAATTCCCCCTTTTCAATAATGTCTTCCAGCCTTACAAACCTGTCAGATACCTCTGCTCATCTATCTCCACTCTGTTGCACACCTTCAATTTAATCACACAACCATTGATGGCATGCTTTCAGCTGCTAAGACATGAGTTTATGGAATTCCCCAAACTTTTGGCCACCTACCCGAATATCTCCTTGAATGTTTTGTCTGAATTTTCTACAATATAACATTGCTATGCAGAATCTTTTGACATTTTTCAATGTTAAAAGAACTATATAAATACAATAAATACAAACAGACCGTTTGGTGCAACCAGTCCATGATGAACATAATCCCAAACTAAACTAGGCCCACCTGCCTGCTGCTGGCCCATATTCCTCCAAACAACTCTCTTCCCTGTAAATTCAAATAGTTGCTGACACACGTAATTTTATTGCAATAACAATTACTTACAGTGAAGGTGATCTAAATGACTAATGCTTATCATACAGCATAACAAAATCTTTGCTAAAATTACAAATGAATCTAAAATATTTTGGCATAGTTATAATTTTCTTCTGAACATCATGAAAATTTCAATTGGAATCTGTCTAAAGTCATTGTCTTCTGTAGAAATTAACAGATTATCAATGCCACTTATTCAAAATACTTAAATATATTTATAACAAAACAAACAAACAACCATTTCTTAAACTCCAAGTTTAAAATACTTTGCTATTTATGTTAGCAAGCATTTACTCTGTCAATTCATTGGATTGATTTTTACACTGGTTATTAAGAAAATTCAGTTATGAAAATCAATTCAAGAGCAGAAGCTCTTCGGTTTAAAAAAAATAGCTTTCTCCTTGACCTTTAATTGAAAAAAATAAAGAAATTATTTTACTCTATCACCCGAAACTTAAATTTTTTTCATCTCACTGAAATAATAGAATCCTTTGTCATTGATCAATGCATGTTCTTTCCAGTTGGAAGTGTTAAACTCCTGCTTTCACTTCTTGCATACTTAAAAGGAGGAATGTACAATTGTTTTATAAAAAAAAATTCTCAAACTGCCACTTCCATCCTTCTAATCTCTCCTGCTGCTCAGACATCCATGGCCTGTATGGTGTTGGCACTCCAATCAGCGTGTGTCAGCCCTCTGACCTTAGAGCAACATTTACTGGCAGTTTCAGTGTACATGAAGCTAAAAACCAAACAAGGGCTAAATTAAAATAAAAAGTTGTGAAAAATCAATTGGGCAGATGCTTTGCATTTTTTCATGCCACCAAAGGGACACAAGCCCCTTTGAAGCATTGGCCTCATTACCATGCTTGTAGCAAACTGTGGGTAATACACAGATGCAAATTAGCCTGCTTTCAATCTTGAGCCAGTGGACAAAATCATCTTTGGGGGCAATGATCCTTAGGGCGGCCCCAAAAATACCAGCAGAGATTGTTGGGGATCGAAGATGAAGAACTCCCTGCACTAATTTGTAAAGAGCCTCTGCAGTTTTCAGTGTTGTGTATGTTAACAATCATTTGAAATGCTAATCTACTGAATTGACCTTTATGCTAGCTCTTAATTGAACTATAGTGATTCAAATCAATACAAGTGCCACAGTCTTATGCAAAGCAAGAATTCTCATTGTGTGATGGTTCAGATTTATTCTAGATTTCATCCAGTTATAGGGGAAAATTTCAGATGGGGCCCTACAATGTCATAGGATGTCATTTTGCATATTTAATCATCCTGTCATCTGTTTCAAATGGGTGGGCTGCTGGCTCATTTCTGGTCTCTAAATTGCTTCAAGTGGGCTCTGAACATTACTGAGTACTAAGTTTTTAAATTGCTGTCCACTCATTTTTTGGGTAAGGAATAAGTGATGAAGTTGTAAATCACTGATGCTTTTCAACCAAGTATTGCTCGTAAAACTGTGCTGCTTGATGATTACTAAGTTAAGAATGTGTTGATAGAAATTAAATCATTGCTTCTTAAACAAGAGCTACATGTATCCACAGCGTTCTACAACACTAAAAATATAATCTCCACACTTCTCTTCAGATTATTGATAATCAGTTGTAGTTTCTAGAGGGCTATGAATACAAAGTTTCATTTTCAGCATACGAAAATGTCAGCTGGAAAAGATCAGTTGGTCGATCAAACCTGTTGACAGCATGATGGTGAAACCAGAGTTGTTCAAAACATCCTTTATTCCCTGATCACCAGTCCCTTTCCCCTTGATCACCTGCCAAATCTTACCTATTAAAGACACTTACCTTCTACATTGTCTGTTCTCTGCTCCAGTCAGGAACTGGTTGAACTCCCTTTTGAAGGCAAAGAATCTGCATCCGCATACAACACATTGGGAAAAGAACTGTCTGATATCCAATCTATTTCTGCTTCGATCTATCATCAGTTGAGCTAATGTCCCAAGGCCTTCTCAATCTGCCAAACTGTAGTGACCTCTCAATGGGATACAGTACAGTTCTTTAATTATTGACCTCTATTAGGTCACCACTATGTTTGTATTTCTGACAAAGCTAGAACTATGCAAAGCACTTGTCAGACTACAGCAGGAATACTGTGAACAGTTTTGGACCTTTATCTATCAGAAAGATACACTAGCATTGGAGGCAGTCCAATATAGAAGGACTGACTTAGATATTGAGTAGGTTGTGCTGTATCCATTGGAATTTAGAAGAATGAGAGACAACCTTTTTGAAACACACCGGGTTCTTAGAGAACTTGACAGGATAGATATAGAAAGGTTGTTTCCCCACTATGGGAGAGTCACTGACCAGAGGGCATAATCTGAGTATAATAGGTTGCATGTTTAGGCCAGAGCTGAGGAGGAATTTATTCTCGTAGGGGGCGGTTGAGAGTTTGTGGAATTCTTTATCACAGAAGGATGTTGGGGCTGAATCACTGAGGGTATTCAAGGCTGAAGGAGGCAGATTTTTTTAAGCAATAAGGGAATGATTGGTTATGGGGAAAAGCAAATAAGTGGAGTTAGGGTCATCAGATCAGCCATGATCTCATTGAGTGCTAGGCCAAACTTGATGGGTTGAATTACCAATTTCTGCTCGTGTCTGATGGCCTTAAGTAAACAGACAAATGTCTTTGAGTCGACCTGAGGTTCATTAAATTACTCTTGTCTCTCCTGTTCCGAAGCAACTTATCACCCCATGTTGTGGGGGAAAGAAAAACGCAGGGCGTAATGCTCTTTTCCATGTAGTCTGACCACCAATCAGTAGTGTTAAAATGGTGTTCTTTTATCCTGAAGAAATTGTATTAATAAAACCAATGTTTATTTAACTATAACAATTTATTTACATTGATCATGAATCTTCAGTAATCTGTGCACTGATTTCTTGTCCACTTTCTACAGTGTTCCCTGTAAATGAAACATTAATTCTGTGTTGGTTTAACTGGCATACACCATTTTCGAATAAAAATTAGTGAGACCGTGCAACGCCATGACAAAGGTTAATTAGTGATAAATTTTAATACCTCCTCGCCGCAAAGAGACTGCAGAAGAGGTAGTTGTTCTGATTACTTGGAAAATGTCATGATTTGTTTTTTTTTTTCTCTAGAACAAAATGTTCATTTACAGAGGAAAGGAATATGAGCGACGGGAAGACTTTGAAGCAAGGCTGTTCACTATATTTCCCAATGCAGAAAAAATGAAGACAACATCTCCTCCAAGTGATGACATTAAAAACTCTTCTGGACAGTGTATCCTTAGAATGTGCTGGCATGCGCATCCTTGGGTGGGAAAGGGTAGTTTTCGTGCACAAAGCAAATTTCCAATTTAAACACAAAATTAAAATAAAAATATAATTATAAGACAGTGCTGATGTAATATTTTCCCTGCATTTATTTTATGTATTCAATCCAAAGCACTACTACAAAAAAAACTCAAACTCAAATTGGTCTCACCAGTACCACCACCAGTAATAAATTGTTGCTAACACCACTTAACAGCTTTTTGTAATTCAAAATATACTGTCCACACTCAAATCTATAAGGACAAACTCATTGTTCATCTGGGGCGTATTGCAATTTAAATTAGTTTTATGCCAGTTGTGCTTTACTGAAGCCCTAATGACAGCACAATGTCTCATGTTCAAATGGTGTTGCCACCAACATCAGAATATAACATTCAATGTCTTGTATTGCTTTTACATAAAACCCTCCTTAAATCTTGCTCAAAGCAAATTTGTCAGGAAAGACGTTGAGACAAGCTAAATGCCAAAATGTTGTTTTGTTTGAAATAAAACGCGAAACATTTATTTACTTCAGATTTTCTTGACATATTTTTGAATTTCCTTATTGTAGTTCTAAATCATTGTTGTTCCACCTGCAGTGCGTATAACCTACTGGCAGCTCTGACACAATGATGTAGTTTGTTGTCATTGTGTAATAAGAACACAAACAGCCAATTCAGCCCCTTCATCCTGCTCAGCTGTTTAATATGATTGTGGCTGATCTCATCTTAACCTCAACTCCACTTTTAGTGCCTGCTTCCCATAATCCTTTTAACCCATTGCTAACTAGCCAAAAGCCTTCAAGACCCCTTGATTTCCTTTTTGGTCCTATTGTTGCTTGACTATATTTGTTTTGCTATTCATGACTCATGGGTTAAACAATGCGCAAACTAATATTAATTTCTATATTGTAGCTAAAGAGAAAGGGTATTCTGTTATTGTGTCCCAAAAAGTGAGATGGCTGACTATTGCCTGCCTCTTGAAGGAAGTTGGGTACAGGTGCTCAAGATACCAGTGGCTTCACGAACAGGTTGAAGGACTTTTGACAATGTGGTAATTTCATTTACCCATCACTGCGATTTGTCCTAACTCATTCGTTTGCAGGTGGTTAAAGTGCAAGCTGCATGAATAAGGGAAATACCATCTCACCAGCTTGATTGTGTTTTTTAAATACATGACCAAAACGTTAGAGGGCAGAGTGGTAAACATTGTCTACATGGACTTTAACAGGGCCTTTGACAAGGTTTGACATGGTAGACTGGTTATTAAAGATGGATCACATGAGATCCAAGGAGACCTTGCCAAATGGATACAAAATTGGCTTGATGTTAGGAGGCAGGGTGATGCTGGGGGTTTGTTTTTAGACTGGAGGCCTGTGACCAGTGCTGTTCGGCTGGGATCAGTGCTGGGTCCACTGATGTTTGTCATTTATATGAACAATTTGAATGAGAATATAGGAAGCATGGTTAGTACGTTTGCAGATGACACCAAATTGGTATTATAGTGGACAGTGAAAAAGGTTATCTAAAAGTACAATTCGATCTTCACAACTGGGCCAGTGGGCTGAGGAATGGCAGATGGAGTTTAATTTACATAAATATGAAGAGTTGCATTTTGTTAAGATGAACCAGGGTAGGACTCACACAGTTAATGGTAGCATCCCGAAGAGTGTTGTTGAACAGAGACCTAGACGTTCACATATATATTTCCTTGAAAGTGGCATCACAGGTAGACTGGTTGGTGAAGACTATGTTTGGCACACTTGCCTTCATTGGTTAGAGCATTGAGTAAAGGAGTTGGGACGTCATTGTTGCAGCTGTATAGGACAATGGTGAGACTACTTTGTGTACTGCGTACAATTCTGGTCACCCTGCTATAGAAAATATTTTATTAAATTGGAGAGGTTACAGAAAAGATTTACAAGGACATTACCAGGACTGGAGGCTTTTATTTAAGGAGAGGCTGAGTAGGCTGGGACATTTTTCCCTGGGGCATAGGAGATTGAGGGATGACCTTATAGAGGTTTATAAAATAATGAGGGGCATAGATAAGGTGAATAACCAAGGTCTTTTCCCTAGGGTCAGGAAGTTTAAAGCTAGAGGGCATAATTTTAAGGTGAAAATTTAAAAGGGATCGGAGAGGCAACTTTTTCACACAGACTTGTTCATATGTAGAATGAACTGCCAGAGGAAGTGGTTGATCCAGGTACGGTTACACCATTTAAAAGACATTTGGACAGGTGTATGAATAAGAACGGTTTAGAGGGACACACGCCAGACGCAGGCTAATGGGATTAGTTTAGATTGGGAATCCTGGTTGGCATGGACAAGTTGGACTGAAGGATCTGTTTCCATGCTGTACAGCTATAATTGAAAATCCAATTCCTCTTCAAATTTATTCAGTGTTCTGGCATTCAAACTCGGGGGTGGTGAATTCCACAGATTCAAACCCTTTGAGAGAAGCAATTCCTCCTCATTTAGTTTTTGGCAGATATAAAATATATATCCTCTCATTCTAAGTTGCTGCACAAGGGGAACATTTGCTCAATATCTAATTTGTCAACCCCCTTAGCATCTTTTATACCTCAATTAGATCTCATTCTTCTAAGCTCAAGCAAGTATATGCGTAAACTGCTCAAATCAACTCTCGTGTGTCCCCACCAGTTCAACTCTGGAATTAGAGCCTTTTTGAACTGCCTCCAGTGCAATTACATCCTTCAAGTAAAGGGATAAAACTACAAGAGTGTATGCCAGAGGCAATCTGCAAAAACATCACCTACTTCCACTTTAGCTCATCTGCTGTTGAACCTTGGATTTTTGAACCTTTGCCACCTTTGGAAGCAGATGATCTTCTGCAGGTTAAGAAAATGGCTTTTATAAATGGAGATAATATTGTGTCAAAAGTGTAATTCATAGTCGTATATAATGCCATGGTTGCAAACAACTTGTCAGAATGACATAGAAACATTCATTGGAAAGGGTATGGGTTTTGTAGCAGGAATCAAAAATGATGATCTTGATCTTCCCAATATTTAATTCAAGGACATTGTGGATCATCTAAGGCTAGGTTCTGGACAAAATCAACAGAGCAAACAAAGTAGGTGATGCTGTAGTAGCGCTGGATGACAACATAAATTTGAAATCTGATCCATGTTTTTATATGGTGTTAAGGGCAACATGTAATTCTGGAAGAGGATGTATCCTTGATTGCTTCTATGCATTACCTCTGGGAGGCTAATTGCTAGAGATGCTGTGACTACTAATTGGTAACTAAATAAGAGAAACACAGTAGAAAATAAAGTTGGCTTAGAACTCGGGCAGGGGAGAGCCTGAAGAGGAGGTTTTGCTTGGTGATGAAGGGGCAACAGATAGCAGTAGAGGTATTGGAACAAATGGATTCAAATTTAGTGACAAATAATTTTATTAGCACCTTGTTTTTGAAGTGAAAGTTGAAAAAGCAAGGAGAAATTTGCAGAGACAGTTGGATATTGCATAAGAAAGCAAAAAGGTTATATTTGCTCTCCAGGATAGTCCTGAAATAACAGATAAATATTGAATGGATAAATGTAGTTCAGCCATACTGGATTGCTAAGTGGTGCTTGAAATATGCTCAAGTAAACTCTTTAACAAACTGCTGTAGATATTCAGTGTTTCACAGTGCAAACCATACGTGAACTGCCACCAAAATTCAAGAACAAGACGGTGTCTGAACAAATATTGAGGTAAAAATCTACTCCAACCTTCATTATTTACATATGCTAAGATCCATCAAGAAAAGTTATTTGGCCCCCAG